GGAGCACAGACAAGGATTGGGAGCACAGACATGGATCAGGAGCACAGACACAGATCAGGCAGCAGAGTGAGCGATGCAAGAGGGGAATTCAAACCCCCTGGAGTTGGAGGGAAAGCTGGTGGGAGTTTAGACATCAGTCCAAGGCTGAACCTGGCCTCTCGGACCCAGAAAGCTCATGGGGAGAAGTTTCTTTCCAGGGAGAAAATCACCAGTGAGCTCAGCTGATGTGTCCCCAGAAATGGGCAGCCTCACTTTCCCAGAGCCCTGCATTCCCTAAACTCTTGTCCTCCCGACCAGATTTGTTAAGATTTGTCTCTTCCTATGTCTCCCTCTGTCATCTTCCACCAGAACCAGGAATCTGGGGGATGTGGACATTGATGACTACACCTCCATCAGGGCCAGGCTTCAGCTCTTCCCAGTGGCTCCTCCAGCCCTGGCCTTGGAAGAGCAGGTGGGCACCACAATCAATGTTTGGTCCTGCCCAGGAAAGGCCAGGAACACCCAGATGGGACAAGGACAGTGCCAGCACACAGAGGAAGATCTGCCTTGACATATTTACCCCAGAAGTCAAAAGTCTTTTGGGCACACAGCCACATCATCGCCTGAACAAAGGGCGGGGAAACACCTGAGAATGGAATGACTGGGGTTATATTGGCCAGAGGAGCCGCGTACCAGAACGATGATCCAGAGGGTGTAGTAAACAAAGAGGACGAGGCTGAAGGTGACCAAGCCAAACCCAACCAGCTGGTCTGTCGCTGTGGCCTGCAAGGGAGAGACAGAGCGGGATCACCACGCTGGGGCCTGAGAGGATCAGGGCTCTGCGGCTGGGAGTGTGACCGGGGACAGGGGCACGGCCAGGGATGATGTACCACGGGCAGCTGTGCCCTGTCACACACACATTTTATGAAAAATCCTTTCCTTAGGGTTTTTTCTCCTGAGGAGCTGAGAGGCCTCAGGAACAAAATGTAAACAATGATTTTCTGCTGCTGTGGAATGCAACAGGTGCATCTGTGATTGGTCTCATGTGGTTGTTTCTAATTAATGGCCAATCACAGTCCAGCTGTCCGGACTGTCTCGGTCAATCACAAGCCTTTGTTATAATTCTTTTTCTATTCTTAGCCAGCCTTCTGATGAAATCCTTTCTTCTATTCTTTTAGTATAGTTTTACTATAATATATATATCATAAAATAATAAATCAAGCCTTCTGAAACATGGAGTCAGATCCTTATCTCTTCCCTCATCCTAAGACGCCTGCGATCACCGTCACAGCTCCCTGAGCCGGCTCATACACCGCATCCCGGGGGCCGCTCCCGGGCGGCGGNGGCCACAGAGCACCCATGGGAAGTGTTCCCAGAGCGAGCTGCCTGCTGGCCTGGGGGGGGCATCGGATTTCTCCCACTGGAGATAAAGAAACGTGAGATGTAACCTTGAAAGCACCCCCCCATTGTCCTGAACAGGCCTGGGAGCACAGAGGAAGTGACAGGGACAGCACTGGGCTCCTGCACAGGAAGCAAGGCTGGAGGGAGAGGTCACACCAACAGCTGCTCAGTCACCAGGGGATTCTTCCACTCTTTGCTTCCTTCTGCCCAACCCAAAACCAGCCCTGAGGGATGGGCTGAGCCTGCAGGTGAGCAGCAGGAAGGGCAGCAAGGGGCTCGACAGCTCAGCACGGCCTGGCAGCCTCTGCAAGAGCTGGAAACAAACCCCAGGCAGAGCCTCACCTCTGGCCCCTCTGCTGGCTCCTGCAGCCAGGCTCAGCTGTGGCCCTCGGGGTGTCCCAGGCCACCAGCACCAGCCCAGGCAGGATGGGATGTCCTCACTGTGGGACATGCTGCTGGCAGGAAGCTCACAGTACATGCAAGAAGGGCTGGAGTGCCCCAGATCTGCCCTCCCCAGGCAGGGTGCAGCAGCCCCAGGCAGGGCAGAACCAGCGTTTTTGGCCAGGTTGTCTCTGGTGCTTCCCTGCCTGACCTCCCCAGCAGGACTTTTCAGCAGGATAATGCCATGAACTGCCAGGGCCATGCAGCTGAGCCCACCCTGGCAGGCTTGTGGCACCCCTTGGCACGGCAGAGGACAGGGAGTGAGACCTTGCAGACGTTTATTAAGGGTGGGCCTGCTTGCCATGGCCCAGGAGAGGAACCCCAAGGGGAAGGACACTGCCACCACACTGCCTGCTCAGCCCCAGCCTGGCTGGCACATGGAGGAACCAAGACTGAGAGCTGTGGTGGGAACCACACCCAGCACCTCCCTGTGATCCAGGACATCTCCTCCCCACCCCTCAGCTGGGTGGGACACAGAGGCAGCACTGTCCCTGCTCCCTCTGCACACCCAGCCTCATGGGAGTCCCTCTTCAGAAGGGCAAGAGCCCCCAGCACCGTGATCAGCCCTTCCAGAAGCAAATGGAGAAGGCAAACCTATCCTTTCCAAGCCCAAAGTGTAATTTCTCTCCTTTCAGACTTGAACCAAAAAAACCCCACAAACTGTAGGTAAACTTTTAAATAAAATTCCCAGAAGGAACAAACTACTGGGCTGAGCCAGAGCTGAAGGGAAGGAGTGCCCAGAGTGGGCAGGGCAGCCCCAGCTGGGGAGCAGCTCCCTCAGCAGGGCCTCTGGTCCCTCTCTTGATGAGCCTTGGATGAATCCTGCTTCTCTTTGGTCAGTGAATTGTAAACTACAGGTTTAGTCTCTGCAGGAGGGAACGTGGGAGCAGCTCAGTGCTGGGCACCTTGGAGATGTCTGCCTGGAGCTGCAGGAAAAGTCTTTTCCTGGCTGTGATGCTGCAGCGTGGGCACCTCCCCATCTCCTCAGCTGGGCCTTCAGTCTGATTTCTTGGCGGGTTTCCTGCTCTTCCACGTCACAAACATTATAAAAACACCTGCCAAGACAGAGAAAACCGATTCAGGTAGGAAACTTTTAATTCCACACCACCTGCCAATGAGAAACAGAATCTCAACAGAGAGAGCAAGAAAATTCTGCTGTCCAGAGGCTCAAACAGCCAAAAACCACACACAAACACAGCCCCCGTGCCAGGCTAAGCTGCAACAGTAACCACAGAGAGTGCTGTGAGTGTCACACATTAACTAAACCCCAGCAACCTTCTTCTCTCTTCCTAATTTAGAAGTTTCTAATTAGAAGCACAGAAACAACTCTCACCTATAAATAGCAGCAGCAGCAGCCCGGCTGCCACGGGGATGATAACTGCGTATTCCCGAGGCAGGAAGAACTGGTGGATCCCATGGTCGCTGTCCATGAAGGGCTGCAGGGACACACAGGGGGTCAGCAGGTGCCCACAACACCTCCAGGGCAGCCTCGAGGGTTTGGGACAAACATGGGAATGCCTGGGGTGAGATGGCTGAAAAAGGTGCCCAGACCTGCAGGGGGCATGGCCACAGAGACAACAGGGGGTGGGCAGTGAAGGTTTGGGGTTCAGGGGACAACGAGGGGCACTCTGGGGCTGGCACCGGGTCCCAGAGCCCCGGGGGTTTGGGGTGGGCAGAGCTGCTGGTGCAGAACAGCAAATCCCTGTCCCTCTGCAGAAGGGAGCAGCTGGCACCAGCTCTGCTCCAGGTTATCCCAGCAGGATCCCCGTGCTGAGGCCGTGGAAGGCTCTGGACACCAGGGAGCACTGTGAGGATGGGAATAATCCTACAGCTCTGGGAATGCTGTGAGGATGGGAATAATCCTACAGATCTGGGAGCGCTGGGAGGATGGGAATGATCCTGCAGATCTGGGAGCGCTGGGAGGATGGGAATGATCCTGCAGATCTGGGAGCACTGTGAGGCTGGGAATGCTCCAACAGCTCTGGGAAAGCCGGGAGCACAGACAAGGATTGGGAGCACAGACATGGATCAGGAGCACAGACACAGATCAGGCAGCAGAGTGAG